GCGATCGAGACTGTACCCCTCCCGGCCGGGAGGGGTACCGTGCTGGGAAGGGAGAACAGTGAAGGTAGAATAAAGTTCTCCCTTCACCTCCCAATGATGGCGTCAGGAAGGGAGGGTTCGTCTGCCCGCCCCTCCCTGAGGGGCGGGTTCGATTGCACGTCCCTTTTGGAAGGGCGGGGGTGTGGGCGTGCGGGGAGGGGGGAGGAGTGCGTTTATCAACGCCCCCCTTTGTCTCATCCAAGTGGAATCCTCAAAGGAACAAGTGGGAGAAGAAATGAAACCACTGTACCCAGAAGGAGATGGCCTTTGATTGTGTGAAAAAGTTCAAGTTTTGAAGCTAACATCACAGGAGAACCAAGCTAAAAATTAGGGGTGTGGTTGATGAGCTGGACAGGGCTAAGAGCAGTAGACACAAGGTGGAGTGAGTGGGCAGTGTTTGCGGAAGGATCAATATAATTTCACATAGACAAAAGAGAAAGATCAAAAATAGAAGAAAAGAGAAGAAAAGATAACAATCAACTACTAAACCTGAAAGCAGCAGACAAAAAGTGGAGTGAGTGGGTGGTGTTTGTGGAAGTATGAGGAAAGAAGACTTCCACAACTTTTGCCTCGGGTATACTGCAAATGTGTGAAATGGTAATGGAACTCATGTGACATGTATAAAGCAGATTGAAACTGAATAATGAACATAAGCAACTCAACAGTGGTTGTCAATCTTGTCATTCAAACCAAGCATCCTTTGCCAATATGGTTGAACCATCTGCCCCGGCTACACCTCAAAATTGTTGAGGGGGACACAGGTAGGTGTGAATGAGTCAAAGACTTTCTGTGACAGGTGAGACTAATCACTAAGATAAACAATGTTTAGATTCAGTGAGGAAAGAGAATCACAATGTGGAACCAAGTGAGCTTAATGCAATTAGGTTGAACTGTACTTCAGTGCAAGCATCTCAACAAACATGTGGTCCCTGACTTCAACCCTCTATTCAACAGCAATGAATTCAAAAATTACTGAGGCTATCTTGAGGAGGAAGCCACTGCACGCTTAGTGTTAGTGTGGACACAGTGGAATTCCACTACACTACGCTAAAGTCTAGCGGAATTCTGCTACATTACGCTGCACTAACCACTATGGTTAGTGTAGCAACCCACCATTGATACAAAATTATATTTGTTGTATTAGGCTGTATTTCTGACCAGATGCAATAATTTTGATACATTTTTATAGCATCTGTTTTTTGACACAATACAAATACAACTATTTGAAGAAGAACAGATACAAATACCAGCTTTGTATTGGTTTCACTGTTGGTGATGGTTTGAAGAAGACATTTGGCACAACTAAGGTCACCAAGGAAGCAGCTTAAAATTTTTTTTGTGATCTTCATCAATGATAAATCTAACTGTTGCCTTTGCCTCACTTGAAGCCAACATCACCAGTGAATTGATGGCTACAACAAACAGTTTTTGAAGGCTAGAGGCTTTGCCAAGAGCACTGGGGCTAGTCTGGAGGAAGGCAATGAGCTTCTAATGTTACAAACATATGTATGCCATCTTTGGCAGGAAGGCTAATGTGACCCCACTGGCTCAGTTTGACTCAGGGGTAGAGGCACACCTCTATGTGGATTTGACAACCCATCAGGACCATGAAGATTGTGATTCATCACCAGAGCTGTTGTTGTCTGGATGGGAAGAAACTCAACTCAATCAACAGCCTTTAGGTTAAACACTCCTGCATCACAGCTGAATTCAAGCAGTTGGACAAGGGTGCTTGGTTGGGCAACCAATCTTGCTTTACCCAACTTGGATGGCAAGGGTTACCTAGATGATGAAGAGATTCCCCTGTCTCCTGAATTTAGTGGTAATGCAATGGATCCCTCACCCAGCAGCCAATTGCTTGTGCAACCCAAGGCCAGGCTAATACAGCAACCATGGGGTGGGGGGTCTGTCTCACCTTCCACACAAACACACACTCCAACCACAACTTTTGCTTTGCCAGGTACCAGTAACTGTGCACTTCCAAATCAGTGGTCAACAGATTCCAGCCCCATAGTTTCCCTTAGAGCATCTCTAATGGAGATGTAATTGGGCAACCAGGGGCAAACTTTGGTGGCCTCGGTTGATTTTTTGTGCTCCAATGGTCCTGCAGTACAACCCTGGAAAGATTGCAGGGGGGATTCAAACCCTTGATCACCCACCAACTTCTGGGCAGCGGTGGGCCGCTACGCTACACTATGCTACAGGCCCATGTAGCGTTAGCGTAGCGGCACCATTTTTTGTTGTGTAGTGTTAGCGCGCCGCTACTGCCCCTGCGCTACGCTAACTTGTAGCGGCGCTAACACTAGCCAAATTTTGGTGTAGTTTTAGCGCACCGCTGGCGCGCTACGCTGCGTTACGCTACGCTACAGCGTTTTTAGCGGCAAAAACGCCTAAAAACCGCTAAAAACAGCTGTAACGCAGCGTGGTGGGCGGTTTTTTGCGCCTGGTGCGCGTAGCGTTAGCGCACATGGGGGGAATCGCGCTAACGCTACGCTAAACGTTAGCGCAAATCTTTCCCCCATGCGCGTAGCGTTAGCGCAGAAATTGAAGAACACGCTAACACTACGCTACATTGTAGCGATTTTTCGCTACACTACACTACGCTACGCTAACGCTACGGTTAGCGTAGCTGGCCCACCGTTGTTCTGGGGCAGTGATAAACACACGCCAGCCCCCCTGGTGCACGCCAGGTGCAGATTGGCGTTGTGGAAAGCACGGCGCGCCCTAGGAGTTTTCTTGCACTTCTCCGCTCCGCAACGCGTCCTACTCCGGTTTTGTTGTCCGGGGTAACTTGCTTGATGGTCTTGTAGGTAGGTAAACTAGTTCTCTTTTATTGATCTTTTGTAGGTAATACACTAACTCTACTCTATCTCTAACAATTCTTTAGGCTAATACACGATTCACTCCTAAGTCACTCTGTTTTTCTGATATGTTCTGAGTCCTCTCCCCCCCCCTCTCTCTCCTCTTCTGCCTCGAACTCCTCTCCTCCTAGGTATCCCACACTCCAGTCCCTTCCTACTTCCCGCGATGTCATCCGCTGTCACCCCCTCGGACTCCGCATGTCACCCCTCCGACGCCTGTCGGTCCAAGTACTCCTCCGGCCGCTCCTAAGCAGGTCTCCCACCGCCGCTTCTGCCTCTGGTCCGCTCCGAACCCCGCTTCTGCCCCTCGGTGCTCCCCGCTCTTTGTAGCCTCTCCGCAGTATCCCCACCGAGACCCCCGTTCCGCAGTCGGCCGTG